TAGACTTTACTGTACTGCTGTAAATGAACACGCTGTTGTGGAAGTCAGAATTTGCTCTAATGCTGTGTTATTTTGAAAACTTTCAACGTAGTAGGCGGTCACACTTATGTCCTTATAATTAATGGTCATATCATTGGTGATTGTAAAAACCCAATTTATGAACATAAAAGGACAAAAATATGAAACTGCCATCTCTTCTTTAAGAGGAATGTAAGAGATTGAAGTGGTATTGTTCATCAATTTCTCCAGTGAATCTCTCCGCTTTTATTTATCAAAGATATTAACGCAGTTTAAAAGAACCAGCATTTTATTGCTTTCGTCGAATGAATGAGGGATTTTCTTCTATGCCATCTGAAAACGAGCCTTCGCTGTCTGTTGGTCTAGGCTCATGAGCCACATGGTGGATTAACCTACTGAGCTTGTCTACATCGGCAGTGTTCCATGATTAATGACGGGTTAAATTAATGCCCAAATTTGCCTGGTTCTTGTATAGTTATTCAGTTGTTAAATATCTTGCCCTAGTTGCAGAATCCATCGATCAGTGACACTGTAGGATAGAAGCAAGGGGCTGAACGCTGTGATGGTAACATAGCATGAAACGGCGACGTAATGATCAGTTTGAGCTCCGTAGATGTCGGGATTGAATCTCGAAAAAGGCAAAATTTGCCTTAACAGCTGGTTACCTTCGGCAAGGAATTTACCCAACGGTGCTTCGCTACAGCCAACTGAAAAATGGACCGCAAGTCGTAGACTGGAATACAGCAGGGCAGCGTGATGTTCAGGTGTAGTCATGCCAGCATGGACGGGGTATAGGACAATACAGTCTAACGATGGCGCCTCATGGAGCTGCAATTCAACTCAACTCACCTGGTAGCTGCTTATTCAATGTGATAATCAGTTATACTTGTAATCCCTGTTGTTGTTGTGTCATTACATAACGAAGTCAGTGATGTTGCTCATGTGCTGTGCCTGTCGAACATCTATTGCTGTGGCGAGTAGCGCATACGAATTAATACAGCTTTTTGATGAAGCAGCATAGCTATTCATGCAACCTTATCCTTACCACTCCACACCAACGTTTTTTCTTTCATTGGACAGGTGTTTCGATTAAAAACCTAACTCCTCTTTCAGAGCTGGATTTTCCGGGTCCGCTGTGTGCCGCTACGAGCTGTCAACAGTCGAACGAGCCTTCAATGAGGACTTTTTCTATCTGAATACAACGTTTTCGTTTTGGCAGCCTGTGCGCAACAAGTTTCCGCATTTCAACGTCTGTATTGCATTTTCGTATTGTCTCTCAATATGCTATGCTGAGCATTTTAGTGCGAGGTGCAGAGTCGCTCGGGTGGCCTAAACGCCGGCTTGACCGTTCGTCTAAACGACGCATACCATTTTCAACTGATGGAAGAACCGGTAAGACCAACGGATCCTGTACCGATCAACATGGTCGCCAATGAGAGGTGTGCGATAATTTTTATAGTGGACTTATCATCACGTACCCGGATTTACGGTCATTGCTTGTTTTAGGTATTCGAAAATCGCTGTTCATGCGGTGGGGGTTAAACCCACTAGCCAGGTGCTGGTCGTATTCGTAATCACAACCTTCGGGTTGCTGAAAAAGATGGTACTTTTTCCAAAAAGTACCCAGCTGTGCGTGGTTGAAGTGGTTCAGTTTGTACCCTTTGGGAGCATTTTTGCAGTTAACGACATAAAACTTAACAAGGAGCTGGTAAGTGAGGCAGAAGTCATGATTAGAGAAAATTTAAATTGGGTACTCGATTTTAGGGTGTCTTATATATCGCCACCGAGAATCGTCTCTACAGTATTCCTGTGCAACGATGCAAAAGATTTCAAACAAAAGAGTAAGTGAAGATTTTACGTGTAATTTTCCTACACCTCAAAGAATTCTCAACATGATTCTTTTAAAACCACACCAACTAACACAATATTTGCGTATTAATTATAGAATTGAAAATTATACATTAGAATCAGTTACAAGGTTAGATCAGAATTTCGAGCAGTAAATCTTCAGGTCACTTGTCATGAATTTTGTAAAAGAATGCCGTTCATGATTATAGTACGATAATAATGCACTGCGGAGGTGAAATGCATCGATGCACGTGTTAAATATTACTGAGCTTGAGAAATGGCTTCCTAGTCATATTCGTATTTGTAGGCAAACCATGGAGTTATATAGACCGGCGGGGAATTATGCATATTAATATACCACTGTAACGCAAAAGATGACGAGCTGTGATAGCAACCATAAGAACAGGTAGTGACGGAGATTCAAACTGAAAGTACTGTGGACTAAAAATTTTACAGTGTTCCACAGTTAAACAATATGTATGTATGTATGTATGTGTGTGTGTGTGTGTGTGTGTGTGTGTGTGTGTGTGTGTGTGTGTGATTGGAGGGAGGGAGGTAGCACGACGGCTGTTTTACATTATGAATCGAGATTCAACCGATTTTGAGGTATTCATTATGAGATCGAGACCAGGCGCAGATTCTTATCCGTTATTAATTGCAGCGCGATGGTCGTTCACATTATTGTTATCTTTAATTATTTTCAGAATGAAAATTTTCTGAATATCAACATCATTTCCTCTAAGTTGTAAACTTTCGCTGTGACCGATATTTTAATATTGTGAGATTGTTATTTTTTCAGTTAAATCAAATGCTAATTTACGTTGTAAACGTGGTGGCGGAAACTAAATTTTTTAATAACACTGCTTTGAATGTTTGATTTGAAATGCGGTATGTTACACAGATCTGGCGTTGGCTTGTTGGGAAATATAAACTAGAGAGACTAAAATTATCATGAGCAGACATTAATAAGTATAGTTCCATCCAGTCGGATTAAGATATCCAGAATGATAACCCGGTATCTGTGCATTCAAGAAAAGGTAACAATGTCCTGTCATTTGCTTCTAGTAGCCTAGGGAACCGTTTAAGCAGGTCACGTCTCACTGGAATTTCAACAACTGCGTTTTCATGGCTACAAAACCGCATCACTCTGTAGGACCGAACAAAAACCTGTTCAGATGCATACCGAAATGCCACCATCCGTCGGAATATGTCACTTTAACTAACTTAAGCCAGCTTAACTATAGAAATTGTTTCTTGAATCGAGTTGACTTCAACAGAACATCGTCATTACGATCATCACGTGATTTATGTTTGTAGGAAGTGCATCGAGGCCAAAGATCCTTACTGTGGTTGGAATAACTTAAGTAAAGCGTGCACTCCAGTGATAGGAAATAAAGCCGAAAGTGATCTGTGGCAGCAGAAGGTTGACGGATGCCCCCAACTTGGCCGACCTGGTAGAGAAAAGTGGTTGCTTTCTTGTTTTCAATGTGTTCGTTTAGTCGATGGCAAATTTGGGCCTTGGAGTACTTGGTGGAATTGTCCGTACAGTGCGGACCAAGGCGAAAATTGTTTGTGTCGAACGCGAGAATGTGACAGTCCACCGACTCGCTACGGCGGCAACGCATGCACGGGGCCAAAAGTTCAAGTTGTCAATTGCACTCGTATTATGCTTTAGCCTTTTGCGACAGAGCTTCAGTGGCAGGTTTTTAGAACACGGGGCGTGGACCACGTGGCATGAGTGGTCACAGTGCAGCGTGAGCTGTGGAAATGGTATCCGCAGTCGATATCGGTACTGCAGTAATCCTCCACCTGCCCACGGAGGCAGAGTATGTCTTGGACCTCACATACAGCAAGAGTACTGCTCGGCCCCTGTCTGTCCAAGTAAGAAATAATTTATGCAGTTTCACACCAAAATTACTATCTAACGACGCTGTTTAAGCGGAAGTGCCTCCTCCAGTCCCTGCAGAATGGTCGTCGTGGTCAGACTGGGAATCATGTTCCAGACCTTGCGGTTCTGGAATACAGAGGCGATTCAGAACCTGCATTACTCCTCAGCGACTCATCGTCGCGACCTGCGTAGGAAGTGACAGTGAACACCGCGTGTGCAACAAGGTTTGCGAAGGTAGCATATCGACTTCTG